CAAATCATTTTCTCTTATAGTAAAGTAATGGGTAAAAATAATAGCATGCATGTAATCAAGATTGTTTTGAGTAAATCATGAAGTCAATGATAAATCAAATCAATTTCTAAAAAGGTTGCATTTTCAGCGTACTCAAAATATTCAACGCGCAAAGACAATCCGATTCCATCATAAGGTAATTTCGTGTGGCTCCACTCATTAAAGTGTAAAACCATTTTGTTTAAAATTAATTAAGGTGAATTTCAATGTGTTCACATTTGAACAAACTTCAACCTCAAGTTTGTTTTACACATCAAATGACTTGAAAGATAAACGCATGTCAAAATCATAGAAGAATTTCAATCTGCCATGACTATGTTATACGTATACACAACACCAAACAAGTTGCGTGATTTATTGGTATTGATGCAATTATTTCGTTTATTACCAAAGAGAAATTTAAAACATAGCCTCATATTAGATACCATTATTTATATACAAGACAAAACGGAAGCCTTGGTTTGAACTTATATATTGATAAAGAGCCTAAGGAAAAACAAATTGGAATATTCTTTTTTCTTTTTTTCCAATTGGAATGTTCTGTTAATACCCATATACACACACACATTCATGATATAGGGTTTGCAAATTATGTTCATAAATTCTAAATCCCATTATCCATCAATCTCGAGTCTTGACTTTATTAATCCCATATTTTTGAGAGGGGTGCAAAGGATGCAAGGAACTGTGGGAAGTGGGGTCCTTAATGGACCAATGATTCATTGATTGAAATACTGAGGCATATAGTTGTAAGGCAGTAATGTCAAAACAGCCTGTCCATTAAGGGGATAAAGAAAATTGGTTATTGAGTTTATTAGTTCCAAGAAGAAGAAACCAAATAACAGAATCAAGTTGGTCTTATTATGTCTCTTCATCTTGCATTCTTGCATGTTCTGTCTCTTGGAGTTTTGTGCAGTAGGACTATGGTAATAGTATGGTAGGAATAAAGCCAAATACAAGCGTCTCTAGACATGTTTCGCCCATGCCCATCTTTCTTTTCAAATCAATTAGCTCGATTATTTATCTTTTTATGTGAATTTCCTAGTTGGTATGTGCATATGGTGAACTATGTATATCTAAAGTAACTTCTCAGCAGTTTATTTACTTCCATTCTATTCTATGTTAGTATGGTCTAAAAAAATACTTGAAAAAATGGAAAAAGTAGAGAAGTACATGACATCTTTTTTGTTTTTAAACTTAAATCCACTTCAATGCAAATAGACTAATTATGCAATGTCATAGTTTACAGGGAATCTTTTATGTTCTTTTCAAATTATTAATAATATATACCCACACTCATAGTAGACTTTAAAGATGATAACCAGAATATGGTGCATTGTGTTTATGAGTGTGTGGACAAGAATAAGTAAGTCCGGTTTTCAATAATTAAAGTTCAGATTGGGACAAAAATGGAACTTTCCGTAATAATCAGCAAGGTGGGATCCAGTGTAATTTTGTGTCAAGCTTCATAAATATGTTCACAATATTATTTGTCTTACTTCCGGATGACTATAACTCAAAATCTGACCTTGGAATTTGTCTAATATAAAGAGAAAAAAAAGGAGAAATGGGAAAAATGAACACTTAATACAGTTTAAATTTACACTTCATTTGAATTTCATACAAATACTAAACTCAAAAACCTTACCCAACTTAGACAGAACTATCTCCTATAAAAGACACCTTCACTTTAGACCAAAAAAAGTTTAAATTTACGCCACATAATGAATGCTGTAAGGTCTTCTAATGTTGGAATAGGTGGATTAGGTCGTAAAAGAACCTGGATTTGGACAGCCCCTAACGAGTTCAGATGTTGAAGGTCCAATCCGTCCAATAGTTGAAATCCATGCATGCATTAAAGACAATAGCCAAGTAACCAATGTCCAATATTCTACATTAATTTCAACTGAACAAGATTCCTTGTCAGATAAAGGCTACATTTCTTTACCCCATCATTTGGTACTTCATATCCATTTTATAAAACATTTTCTCACCAGCTATTAAAGAAATGCGAATTCACGAAAACAGTAACATCGAAATTTTTATTCACCATCCGTGGAGCACAAGCTTATTAAACTAACACATTCTTTTGCACTGCACTTAAACCATAATAACAGCATATCTACTGAGTACATCATAGCGGCTTGGTGTTCTCTGAAAGTGAAAACTAAGATTGTAAATCAGAGTGCATGAATCTACCCATATTGTGTACCCCTTCATTAAATCAAGTAACTTGATTATAATAATTCCTCAGAAGATATTTCTACTTATTTATAGAACTGCAGTAACTAACAAGCTCATAACTAAGGTAAAAAAATAAAACTGTCAAAGTGAAAACCTCTTTACTTGGCTTCAACATCTTGGTAACATGATGAACTTCGTGCCACCCCATTATGTAACTTCCCTTGGCAGTATTATGGATCAGTTAACAACCATCTGGACCACTAATATATATTTCAGTCTTCAAGTGCTACACAACTTTAGGCAGAAAAGTAATTTGGTTTCCGAAGTTGATGCACTTTGTGTGTGAGACTAATCCCATTTAGCATTAAGTCAAACGATTAGATTATGATTGCAAGTGACATCCTTAAGAAACCTTTATACTCTCACAGAAAAGCAATTTGATTTATAAATACTAAAAAATTTGATTAGATAATTGACAAAGCCGTACCTATAATACGACAGGGTTATCGTATACGACTCAATCTTTTTGTATAAATTTCAAAATAATCATGCTGATTAAATTATATGGTATGCCTTATGAAATTTGATCATAGAACATGGGTGTCAAATGGGTTGCTTTCTTATATCTTTACCCACACAAGCCTAATGCAATGTAATTTACCTAATATTATTATATTACCTGATAATTAATTGTCCCTCTATGCATGATCCATTATAATAAATATAATTATAACCCATGCACAATGGTTTCAAGATTACAAATATTTTGATCGATAATATCCACAGTTGTTTCCTCCGTTGGCATTATAACTTTACATTACATGGACAAAGATTCCAATTTAGAAATCCAACTCTCCCATGGATTTAGAGTGATAAACTCATTCTTACTTGCTGCGGGAAGAAGAGTATTGGACTTGTGCTCTACAAGGGACGCCCCCTCAAAGGATATAAAACTAACAGGATCATCCATGAATGAGTACAAGCTGCACGATTCAATAAATAAATATTTAAGTTCTGTTAAAATTTATTTCCTGTGATCCTGATTATATTTATTTCAATTATATATTTATCTTTTAAAAAAATAATCTTTAATAATTAATTAGAATATCTTGAGTACATTAAAAATATATATATATAACATATACATTGGAGTATATTCATTTTCGCCACCCCCCGCCACTTCGACTAAGTTCTGGATCCGTCCCAACATCAGAGTATGTCAATTACACGAGTTCAATTATTTAATCTTCTCACAATTTTGGGGGTTGAAATTTTAAAAGCATAGTGATACTATGAAGTTTTGATTGGCAAAGTTTATTTATTCATATATTTTTATTTCCTCTCTTTGTGTTAGAACTAGATGATGCGCGAATGTTCAAATGAAATTAGTGATGATCCAACAAGCTACTTTCAACGAATGAATAGAAACTCTAATCATCAGCTCTATTTCCAATGTTACCTTTCAATCTGGCTTCTAAAACTACTCTGTCTGATTCTATTGGTGTGGCCCCATGTCCTTGCAATAATGATGAAAATACATACGCTTCAGTCCATTGAGATATCTTCATAAGTGCTTAATCAGCCAAAGAGAAAAGCTATCGATGAAAATCAGTTGAACCTTCATGCTCAACCGAATTCAAAGCTAAGCCAAGGTAATGAGCAAAGGCTTGAAATCGATGTGCGCAAAGGCTACAATCACAACAACTTACACAACCTCAAGAGCTTAATAGCTTAGCCATCAGAGGATATACATATTAGTTTTATATACATCACATAAGTTTTACTTATTAGAATCGATTAGTTTTATTTAGATTGAGTAAAAACTCACTTTAGTACCTCAAATTTCCTGTGTCAATTACTTTATTCACTGACTAGAAAATTTGCACTTTAATCTCTAACTTTACAAAATGAATTTCACTTGTCTTTTTTATATAAAACGATTAAATATATGACAAAAGACTAAAGTGGGTGATATTTTTTTTAAAAAAAATTAAGGACTAAAATGCGATTTTTATGAACTGGGCTAACAATTTGATGGACTAAAGTGGATATTTACTTCATATACGTTACATGAGGATATGAATACAGTAGAAAAGAACCCGCATAGCTCTTTATGTATGGAATGGATGAGGACTAAACCATATACGTAGAAAAAATAAACAGAGAGTGGAGAAAGAGAAACAGTGTCAGGAGAAGCGAGAGTGCAGTTCGTTATTTATTTGAGTGGTTATTCCTTTCAGCACACAGGAGTTTATATAGCAGAAAAGTATATCAAATGTTACAAAAATCCTCATTACTGGGTATTAGCTCATCTTAGGTCCTAGGAGGAGGCCCAACGTTGACGCATTTACAATTCAAATGGGTTTAGGGCAGATATTAGCTACTTGCCAGACTTTGGAGCAATATGGGGGCCCAGATATACAATAAAAACATATATAATATTTTTTCAATTATAAAATATAATACAATTCAATATAATTTTATTATTACATACTATAATTTTGAAGTAAAACCTAATAATAATAATAATAATTTCTGCCCAAATTTCAACTTAATATTAGCTAATCGGAATATGCTTTCAATTAATTTTAAATCTCTGCCTTGCAAGCAAAACCCACCCACTACTTATATAGCCTTTTTGGTCTCCCAAGAGGTGCTATTATTGTTGGGGTAATCATAGCAACACTTCAGCCACATGATTAACCAAAAGAAACAATTATTCCAGAACAAATAATGGGATTTGCACATCCCATTTCACAACAAACAAAATATCGTTGATGGCACTAAATTCGAATAAACACATGGTGTGTGCATGTAATCATTTAACATTATTAAAGGAACGAAGGATTTCAAAACAACTAAATCTACAACTAGAATGACACGTCAGTTAAAGCAACCTTCCTAATTCATCAATGTCAACATATAATATACCTTCAACAAGTACACAAAACAAGCACCAACTATTTAACATACTAATGGTATGTAACATAACTGCATACACACAACTGTTTATAAAGTACAAGCGTGTATCTCTCAAGAGGCAAGAAATTTTCACATTGGTAGAAATAAAAAAATAAAATCAGACACGATATTCTCAAAATACAAGAAATGCAGGCAAACCATTCGAACATCCATCAGCCTTGTGTACATGTCACTTCTTAAGCACACTGCAAAATAAGTAGGGCCAGTCAGCATCTCAAGAAGCAGACAAAGCATGGAAACTAGTAAAACACCACCCTAAAACACGTGCTATGAAATTAAAAATCCCAGTGATGTTATTAGGAAGCTGAAAAGCAGAAACTATCCCAGTGCTATGAAAAATTCAGTTAATATCATCTCAAATAGATAGGAATACTGAATTTTTAAGATAAATAGGGCATAATTTATTTCAACGCCATTGCAATAACAATTTGATTTATACAATAGTTTTTTATTTATATATTCCAAAAGGAAAACATATTAGGGAAGAGGGATGGAAATTACAAGCACAATCCTCAAGTCCAAACAAACCATTATAATCCCTATCAATAACATGATTATCCTCTCTACAGAGATTATTGAACTTTCTTTTATATGATGGCATCATTTCAGATTTCCTAGAAATCTATTTGGCTAGAGAAGTTTGCAAATCATCATTTCAGGCAAACGTTTAAGTTTTACTAGATAACCATTTTTTCCTCTAGTTTCAAATGAATGCCTTAATCAAACTTATTTAAACTTGCCCTCATTATATCAAAGTTTAGCAGATCAGTGATAGCAAAGGACATTATGATTATTGTAAGGAGGCAATTATGGATATGCTAATATGGATCATGAAAGAATTTGACGATGGGATTACATGTCAGAAACTAAGCAAAGGTATGTCCGTATATGAGACATAGGCTAGAGAGGGAACAAAATGAGATCAGGTTCTGCAGCAGAGGCTACACATAAATATCAAGAATACGAGATAAATACTTTACAAACAAAGCATACCCAATTTCAGACTTAAAATGCAGCTTAACATTACCATATGAATATAAGTTTTAATTTTCAATCTCCAATTCATAGGACAAAATTAAAATATACCACAAATTTCCTATCCATGAATATTAATTAATACACCAAAATGTCCAGCATTCAAATCAAGAAGCATATTGGGCAGGACTATAACGAATAATTTCAGCTTGAAAATCATGAGCTAAAAGGAAGTGTTAAGCTTTTTCAATTTCATGAAAAGAGATAGGAGCCTTACTTGTATAAGTAAGCGGCAATTCCCAAAATTATAATCAACAAAACAATATCGATACAAAAGTTTCTACTGGATCGAAGCTGGATGCAAATAAAAAATCATATTAGATTCAACAAAAAAATTATCATGAAACAAACTGGAAATTAATGGAAATCTACACAAACTCAATTAGATAACCTGGTTCACTGTGTCTTTAAGTCTAACATTTGTATTCTTAAGGTCAGAAGATGCCTTGTCCACCTGTAAAAATGACAAACAATTGAGTCATTAATTTCAACTTCATAATTCAAGTTCTAAAAGCCAACAATTCAAACATTATAGGCTTTGTTTGGGGTAAAGGAAGCAGAAATTGATAATTCTCACCTTAGTGTCAATCTCATCCATCAGTGGAACTTGTCTATCCAGTTCCTGCATTTAGCTCATAAATAATGAACTTAAAAAGGTTTAGAACATATAAACACAGAGAGAGGAGGGAAGAAAAATAATAATAAGGCAACTGACCTCATTCATATCACTTGCCATGTTTTTCAAGGTATCCAATCCTTCAGCAATCATATCCAAACCTTGATCCTAAAATGTCACATGTAGTTAGATTTGAAAGTTGAACCATTCATGAAGCAACATTCAGCAATCAATCTAGGGCAAAAGATAACAGCAAACCAATCACTAGTCACAACTGCTATAAGTTACTTGCCTGTTTCATTCTACGCATTTCATATTCCTGCCTAAATTGACTCGATTGCTCAGTTTGTTGGAAGTATTCATCATCAAATCGCCCATCTGTATTTGAGATGATTCGGGGATTCGAATATGAACAGAGTCAGTCAATTAATAAGCTTCCTACCAATGAAAAACAATAATCACATCAATCTGAGATATGGATAATTAAATTACCTGAATCAAACTTAATTTCAGGACGTGAGGCAGAAGCAGCCCAGCCTCCAGTTTGTTTTGGACCAGCAGGAGTCCCATCTGGGATAGCTTGGATTCTATCCGGCAATGCAAGAACCAAGTCATTACGGGCAGCAAATTCTTGCGATGAAAGCCCCTTTACCTGTGAATACATTTTATTATGTATCAAACAAATGTACTGTCATTAATTTTGAAACTCTGCATGCGATGAAGTTACTAAGTGCCTAATAAATAAATAAACAAAAACAAATAATCAAGCTAAGGAGAAAACACGCACACCAAATAGAATGACTCAATAGTGGATTGAAATATTCAGAACTACAGACAGAAACAAATATGCCCCTTTCATAGCGCAGCAGTTACACTAGTAAAAGCAGATACCATACAATACAACAGATAAGTTGGATTCATTTCTCTAGTATTTCTTCAGTCAGATCAAATAAATTATCTTATCTACCAACTAGTTATCAGCTAGATGAATTTCCCAATTCAAGTTGTTCTTCATCACAGCTGAAAAGCACCCACTACAAGATCGATGAGAATTCCCAATTTATACACCTAACAAATTCAATTAATCAATTCTAAATCCTAAAAAATAACAATTATAAAAAAAAAAACCTTTTTCACAGCCAATCTCTGCAACTTGGGAACCTCCTCGAGCAACCGAGCCTTTGTACGACGAATCTCCGCATTGATCGCTACAGCAGATGCCTTACCTTTCTCCTTAGAAGCGGTTTCTGCTTTCTACACACAAATTTTTATAAATAAAAATACAAAATTCTTTTCTCCATATAGCATTAGAGAAAAAATCAGCAATTAGGGCACAAACTGATGCGTGATACCTGAAGCAAGGCCTCGATGTCGGCATCAACGACGGCGTAGAGTCTGGCAAAGGCATCGTCGCCGGAGACATTGGGATCCTTGTGCTTATCGACGTCATATTTGTCATACTTCTTGCAAATGGAATCGACTCTGGTTAGAATGTCGATGACGCTCATAGTGTTGATGTTGTGGAATCAGAATTTAATCTTTGTCTTGCGAATGTTGGTGTGGACAACGAGCAACGGATGGGTGTGGCAGAGTTGGATCTACTTGTTTCAGTTGCTACAGAACTGAGAAGGGGTTTCAAAGGAGAGAGAGACCATCGACAGCTGTAGCATAACAACTGTGAACATGAGGCAGTTTCTTTGAAAAAATAAAAATAAAAAAAAATCTTCTTTCGTTTGAGAAAATTGACTGAATTGGTGATTCAGTCTTCACTTTACAGCGCAGTTATTTTAGTAGCTAATTATTACTATTAGAAAAAACAAGTAATTATAAAGTTAATTATATGAAATAAGTTTTGTATTTATATATTTTAAATAAAATAATGTTCAGATAATTTTTTAAATAATTTTTTATAATAAAATTATAAAAAATTGTATGAAATTGGTTATAATAATCGGTTTCATATTTACAATAAGACAAAATTTATCTCTCATATAAATTTTGATTTGGTGTTTCATTTTTGTCTTAATTCTTCAGCATTTAAAGATGTTTTAAATATGTTTTTTTTAAATGTTAAATTTGTAAAAAAAAATTTATCGTAAATATTGTTCATCTTCTTTTTAATATGTTTTATTTATTTTTTCTATTCTTTCTCTCTTTCATTTTTATTTTTTTTCCGTCTTTTTTTTCTTTTTTTCTTCTTTATCTCTCTAACTCTTTCATGATCCAGCATCACATTCTACTCTCTTCAAGCAAGCAAAATCATCCAATATTTTACTTAAAATCAATGGTGTGCCACCTAAAGTTCCAGTTCCATGACTCTTTTTTTTTTCTTCGTAAAAATATGCTTGTAAATTGGAAGATAAGAAGGTGATGTTGGTTTAAAAAAAAAAGGAGTTAAAGGGATAAATAAGAAAAAAGAAAAACAGAAGAAAATTGATAAAAATATGAGAATAAGATGGAAGAGATAAAATAAGAAGATGAAGAAACATAATTGTTAAAAATGTGAGAAGACGATCAACAAATTCTAATCAATAAACAAATTGGAATACAAAATTAAAATTTACCTAAAAGATAAACAATAAAAGCACTAGTTTTATTTTAAAATAATAATTAATTATTAAAGATAAAATAAAATTTTGTTAAAAATATTTCATTAACTTTTGGGTAGGATGATTTTTAGTTCTAAGTTTTTAAAATGTTATAATTTAAACAATTTTACAATATTATTACCTTAATTATATTTTCTTAAGAGTAACAGGCATAGTTGATAATAGAAACATAACAATAACAATTATAACAATAATAGATAGACATGGGACAAGCATCAATTATACATACTAACCAATGACAATAATAATTAAAATGATAACGATAATAAAAAATAAAATACCCATCAATAAAAGTGTCAAAAATGGTAATAACAATATTAAAAATTAATTAATGATAATAATAATAAAAGTAAATATTTTTTTAAGAAAAAATAAAGAGATTTAGGATGTATTGGACAAAACTAACAAATAAGCTAACTAAAAGACAAAAATTGAAAAATTAATTGATTAAAATATAAGTATTTAGTAAGATTAATTGTTAATATATCATTAGATAATGAATTAACTAAATTATTTATTATTATTTAAAAATATTTTGCTTCTTACACAAAGTTATGAATTTATATATAGAAAGAGAGAAAATAAAGTTTTTAAGAGGGACAAAATTTAATTAAGAAAATGTTAACAAGTATGTTTAATTCTTTGTTTAATAAATTTAAAAATAAACATTTTTTTCAAATAAAGTGTTACCAACGTATTTTTATTTTCAGTTTTTTTACATAATTTTAAAAAGTTTTTTATATATTTATTTTTTAAATAATTAATATATCTAAAACACCCATTAAGAGAACCCCTTTAAAATATACTAGTAGAAGTTTCATGTCTTGTTGACCAAGCAAAATAATGAGATTTTATTACATCACAAAATATTATATGTTTATTTCAATTCTTCAAACATACCTTGATTTGGTTAAGAGAAAGCTAATATTAAGGTAACAATAAAAATGAAGGTATGCATATTTACATTTGTTGCTATTCTTTAATCCAAATGGCTACAAAGGATGGGGGCGTTGTGTTCAAGCAGGAATAGTTTGATATTCTCAGAATCATGGGTCTCAGCATAAAAATATGTTGATACATATTAATTTATTACAATTTGAGTTCTCAACGAGATAACTCAAACCCACTTACAAGTTGACCTATTAAGTAGTTTATTTGAAGAAACTTAATTTTTTTTTAAAGTTATATTTTTTAACAATTTAATCATTATTATTTAATAGGCAATATCACTTATTAAGTAATACATTGTAACCTATAATCAAATAATCAAGCTTACAATAAAATAATTTAAAAAATAATAAGGTGAGTTGAACTTGACTCCATGAATTGGTTCACTCTCGTGAGTTGAGTGAGATAGCCCATAATAACCCAAGACTACAGTGAACTTAATCGTGAGAGTGCGAGATATATTTTGAAATGTTATATTTTTATATTCCTAAGTTAAATTATGTAAATTATTTACACAATAATATGTACACATGTAAAAATAAAAATATTATTTATTGATTATTTAATTAAATGTGTTAAAAAATCAATAAATTTATATTTTTAAACAAACTAAATATATAATCTTAAAATATTATATTATTATTATGGTTATCATATGACAAAAACTAATAATATTATAGAAGAAAAATATATTTATTATTAATTATTAAATTCATATAATAAAAACTAATAAATAAAAGTTTTTTTAAATATAATATTCAATATTATCTATGGTATTTTTTAATTTTTGAATAAAATTTTATTATTATGTTTTTAAGTAAATATTAAAAAATCATAAAAAACAACATATAATAATAATAATAATAATAATAATAATAATAATAATAATAATAATAATAATATGTTTAAAGATATACAATAAAAATTTTAAAATATTAATTTAATATTGAAGATAAGGTAGATTTTTATTTATAAGAAATTATTTATTATATTAAAGATGTTAAAGTATAATAAATATTATATTTTTAATAATTTAAATTTATTTCTAAGAGTGATATTAATTAAAATAAAAAAATTATACATAATATTTTTTTTAAAAATTATAACATAATCTAATGTACTGATGCGATCAAATATTATATTTTTAATAAATTTTATTATTTTTTATTTAGTACATTTTATAAACTTATATAACATTACATAAAATAAAAAAATACATAATATATTTTCATTAAAAATTATAAAACATAATATAATTCAATGTATTAATATTATTAAATATTAAATTTTTTACTTATTAAAAAGTTGTTTTTACTATGTATCTTGAAATATAAGTTAGAAAATAAACACAATTTTGTTATTTTTTAAAAATAAAAAAATATAACAGATATGTTAGTAATAAAAACTACCTATATCCGTAGACCTAAATTAAAATTAAGTAAGTATAAAAATAAAAAAGAATGAAAAGTTGTTGTTAATATTTAGTAGTAATAATTAACTAAAGGAGTAAATACGGAATGCGCATAAGTAAGCGGTAAGATTGGGCAGGGAATTTCTCTTCCTCTTGTTTCTTAGTTCTGTATACAACCGCTTTATTTCATTGTCAATTTCCAAAGACAAACCCACCCTCTCTTCTCTCTCCTTTCTTCGTCTTCAACTCTCTCTTCTCTCCGGCCTTAGCTGATTTCCAAGGCAGGTTTATCTGCCTGATTCTGTTTCTCAATACCTGTGGTTATAATTATTACATGCATCGTTATCCACCATCCTACTCTTTATCTCTCTATCTGTTGATTTCCTTTATCTCTGCAAAATCACAATCCCTAACTTGATCGGTTTCGACTTTTCTCGTTTATGATCTTTTTGGTGATTATTTCTGATGTATCATCGCCCTCTCCAACGCTTGTATCTCAATTTTTTAAGTGAGAGAAGATAATTTTATCTATTTTTTTATGATACGACCTGTTTGGTTCGGAAATTTTGCTGATTGTGAGATAGGTTTTTGGTTTTGTTCGTTTGTGATATCCTGTTGACCAAATGTGTAGTAGAAACTGTGGGAATCACCGTCGATTCACCCCGTTCGTCTTAACAAAACGCGTGTATTTTGTAAATAAACAAGTAAATAAATATTAAGACGGGAAATAAAAATCTATGCATCTTTGTTGGAATAACCGTATCTCCCTTCTGTGTGGAGTATTCTAATCTCTTTGGTTTTAGAAATCATGTGAATTGGGATCCTTGTAAGGTCTTTAGATTTAGAGAGCCTGGATAAACTTCTTAACAAGTACTTAAAAAGAGAAGAAAATAAGATGAATTAAGGAGATAAAATGAATCAAACTTTGTTTATATGTCAAAGTCAAGTTATGCTTCATAACTGTTAAACGAGGGAGTTTTAAAAAATGTTGAGGTATATAGGTTGAAGTTAACTTATGAGAAAAGTTTGAATTATTCTTTTTATTGTATTTTCTTCTCCTGCAAGTATTTGTTAAGAAGTCTATCCAAACTGAGTTATAGTTATTTTTTTTCTGTCATTTTCATCCCCCTCGCTGTATGGGTGATAGATATCATGGTGTTATCATTGTATGTGTTCCTGGGCAAGTACATTTGGTTATTTGAAGTGCTATAATAAGCCTATAGCTATTAGTTTATAACTACTCTGTTTTGTAATGCTTGGTGGAGACATAACATCGCGCATTTTTGCTTAATATCTTTTTGTAGCTGAAGTAAAAAAAAGTCAATTTATATATATATATATATATACACACTTTTTAAGTATATACTTCATATCCTAGCGACATGTTTTGATATCTTTGCTCACATTGTGGTAAGAAGAGTAAATCTTCTGATCTGTGTTTTTAACTTTTTCTCAACTTCTATTGTCTTCATATATGGTATAAGGGTTTGGGGGAGGGTAGACGTGGGCTGTCTCACCTCCACAAGTGAAGAGGTTGTTTCCAATATTTGAACCCCTGACCTCCAACCCCCAAGGCAACAACCTTGCCATTGTGCCGAGGTTCACCCTCATCTTTGTATGTGGTATATTGGGATATTTGGCTTTGTAATCGAACTCTTATTTACTAATTGTTTTTCAGGCATTATGGTTTTGAATATTGGTTGCTCTGGCATATATTATTGGTCCTGGTTTTGTTTAGATTTCCTTAGAATCAATTAGGTTTAGATGGTTTTTTTATTATGCAGGTTTATTGGTGCCGCCGGTGTATTATACCTGCTTACATCTGCATGTACTGGTGAGATTTGCCCGTGTTGGAAAAATTCTACTTCATACTCCCTTTTCCCCACTTTTCTTTAGCAGTTTATCGTTCATGGATCTTTTCAAACAGTTTTAATTATATGATCACCTTTATCTCTGGGTTCATATTATAGCCATAAAATTATTATTATTATACTGGTGAGAACTGGCTTTGTTTGCCTTGGCATTTGCCATGTACAGGTTGTGGAAGGGAATGTGTTTTTTTCATTTGGTTTCTTCAATTACTTTGTCTGAAATCACAGATTATGTTGCAGGGATATTTGAATCTTGGGTTAGTGGGGTGACAGTAGAAATGATGACTTTGACATGAGCTGTTTTGTCAGAATTTATTAGCATGATGATATGCTGTTAAGGATTTTTATATGCCAACTTTCATATAGGAAGAAGAGAGTATATGACATCAAAGATCCTCTGTAATTGGAAGATTTGCATAGGCTTTATTCAACTAGAATGTGCCCTTTAGATCAAGTTCATCCATGTTCCAGGACTGGGGGCTTGTTTGGTATGAAATGGCCTTGCATTTATGCTGAGAATATTGTGGGCATGTGGCAATAGATCTGTCACATTCCAATGTTTAGTGAAGCAAGATGTTGGTGTCAAGTGTGGACTGTTACAGGCAATCTAGGGTGGGATGTGAAATTGTCCATATTTTATCGTGATAGTGCTAAAGGGGTTCTGGGGTGCTGAGATAATGAGATATAGATATTTGTAAATGAATTATTTGCCCCTTGACTTTGTAAATTGCCTTACTCTTAGTTTTGAATTTGACGTTTATGTTACCAGCTGTGGAGGTGTTATTTAGTGGGGCTGTATAACGAGTGTTGCACCAACAGTTTTCAGAATTCACTGCACACTGGTGTGCATTATGGAGACTACAATATTGAACCAATAGTGCATACCATTGATGAGGACTATTGTTCATTCACCCTGAATTGATGATAGCTGGCTTTTATGCTGATGATTCTTGTTGTTCTGCCAAAAAATGGTTTCTCCAATAATGCAGCAACTCATTGCTTGGATTTTTGGATATACTTGTTGGTCTGTTGACAGTGAAACTGTTTAATGACCACAGTTAGTAATCTTCTCTCATGGTATCCAAATATTGATGAATGGATGAATACTAGTGTCGAGAGTGTTGATAATGTGGCCAGAATGCAGGACTTACTGCCTTTTGCTTTACCAAGCTTTTGGGCTGGAAAAATCTTCTTTTTTTGAACTTACTCTTCCTAATTTTTAATTGTTGTCCCTTATTGGGAACAATGGACCTTCTTAAGGCAGACCTCATTTGCTTTTTATACACAACTCCCTTGTCTCTGGTTTGTGAAGAGAGTTTATTATAATTGGATATTGAGACATGCTTTGATTGTTAATATTCTGGTAAAAGGCAATTTCTTTTATTGGGAAATAATCATTTGGGTTTGAATTTTTTTATTTTTTACTTATTCTGATTTGAAAATTTCTTTGTTTAATGCCAAGGCAATAAGCCATGAGCCACATGACTATAGCTCCAAATATGAATGGATTCAGAAATATGCTTGATAAAAAGAAAATATTATTTACAGCATGATTTAATTTGAAAACTTACCTTTTTGAAAGCATAAGCATCATGATAATATTCAGCTAATTGTCTGTCTTGATATTCATTTACTATTCTTTAAGGATTTTATTTAGTATTTTGATTATAGTGAAATTTGAAAATAAACTTGAAGTTTAATTTTTACTCATAATTGAAAGACAAGTTAAATCTGTACTCTTTTCTGAGAATTACAGGTTCTAGTAATTGATTAAATTCTTAATCTTTTTAATATTTTGATGCAATCCATGTAAATACCAGTTTTGAGTAGATTGTTGTGGCACTATAGTATTCTACTGTCTTATTACCTAGTTTACCAAAAAATTGTTTTTAATTTTTTGGAAAAATTTCTGCATGTATAGTGGCCTTTTCTATGCTTACGACGTTGCGAATATCTGAAGACATGTAGCATATGGATTGTCAGAGGCGTGTCCTTTCCACAGTGTTGATTTATTCCATTTAGTTTATTAATGTGTACAATATCTTCAAATGGTTTAATCTATTTCTTTCCTTCTTAAAATGAAATGAACTAATTGAGCTCATTGAGGGTATGGCTCATCCTTCTCATTTTGGTCTTTAAATTATTAGAACGGGGATGATGTGGACTTGGTATTTTCTTAACCATTTTTTTATTATGTTTGGCAAGGGTCTGGTTTTATGCCCTCTTGTGATGCACGAATGCTTCAATATTGGTGACAACTGTATCATACCCCTGCCTGACACTGATACACATATTTTATGTCTCCCTTTTATCAGAACTTCAATGTTTATATTCTAATCTCCTGTATACATTTTTTTTATAGAGCCGTTTATCATCATCATAACTTGAATTATAACACTTTTATTTAAATTTGGCTACAATAATGATTTTTCAATAATTTTTGTAAGAGATTAAAGCATAGTAATAATATGAAAACGATGACAAATCAATGTAAATATCTGCTGTATTTAGAAAAAAAAAATAATGTAAACTTTTCAGTGAACTGTCGACATATGGAAGGCACTTCATATTCTTGTAGTAAAAACTGCTCCCTAGTTTTGTTGTTTCCTTTTCCAGATTTTGTTGTATTTTTTACAAGATAAAAGGGAAAATTTGTTTTTGTGTTTTTCCAATGCATTCATCCTTTAACTTTTCTTATAAGGTATAGATGCTTTTTTAAACCTTTCATTTTTGTTCTTTATTCAAGGTGTGCTCCACAGTTTTTTTTCCCTCCTTTTAAAACAAATTGTCATTTCAGTTTAAATATTCCGTGTCTTTTAGCTGGAACACTGGGTTTGCTTAAATTTTGTGTTCAGTTGGTCTTGTCTTTACTACTGATACTTAATAGAAGGCAAATATAAGAGTATTTTCCTTTTATGCCTGATTGTGCACATAGTTGATTATCTTTTTCTAGTGCAGGAAAAGAATAGAAAATGCTAACATGTGCTGAGTGATCCTTTGTAAACCTTGCCAGGTAAGTCTGTTGTTTGAGTCATCCTACTTCCAATCTCCTCTTTTCAAGTCATATCTGAACCCTTGCTGCTACATATAGAGTGAGAAACCATCATCCATGTCGTTTAAATATCAGCTTTGTCATTTTTTCTCTCCCTTTACTTTCTTTTCTCCTCATCTTTATTTTCTTACCTTAGACTGGGAGGTGATCTTCTGGTGTCAATGAAGAGAGGTATTCTGTAACTTTGGATTCAAGTAGTTGGACTTGTTGGGGCTCTTGGTTTTTGTCATGCCTGAGGAGAATATGAGTGTCAACTGTCTAGTTTCTGTCAATTTATGGAAAATTCCCTAGAGTTGATGATCTGAATCATATTTTCCTCCTCTCCTTCAGAAGTAATTGCTCGTGGCGATTCTCCTCCCTTGATAAAATTGTTGTGTGGCTGGTAATCATGCTTCTCTTTTCATGCATGCCTGTTGATGGTGTTCTAAGTCACCAGGGCTGTAACCTTCCTCTATCATGCAATTTTGGTGGTAATTGGAACACTAACATAGATAAAATAGTTCATTCTGTGAGTATTGTTGTCCTCTTGGCTGATTAAACACATCATCTTGATATCCACTTAGCTCCTATAGCAGTTGATTACTTCTTATTTACTCCTTCAATCTTTTCTTTGGTATTCTTGGCAGCTGGACATGAAGTTTCAAGCTAGGTGGTCTTCTGTAGGCCTAGATCCTTTTGCCCTGTAAGGGATTGAATGGCAAATGATGAAAACTGATGAATAATATATTGGTAATCTAAGGAAATTTTCTATTGACTAGACATGTGGAAGTGCCAGTGGTGGTTGTATATGCTGTAAGTGGAAGAGGAAGGTCAGGCTAGATTTAATTGTAGGACTACTTTTTCTCTAATATAAGTGAGATTGTACTTATACTAAATGTTAAATTGTTGTTTATAGAGTATATGCTCCGTTGCCTTGCAAGACTATCTGGATCATTCTGCAGTATCAATCCCATGCTACTATCAATTTATGTTTATGATTGTAATTATTGTTATTTTTTAAAAAGGTAATATTGTGGACTTGTATTTTCTAAGTTTTGAGTCTCTTTAGTTCATTCTGCTATGAAGCATGGACTCCGACAAGGACACTTCGACACCACCAACGTCTAAAATATAGGACACCAAGACACTGCATATATATATATATAAAAAAAATTAATGTAAGTACTTAGTTTCTTTACAAAAAGATCTAAAGATAAGATAACATTATATCATATTCATCTTCTCAAACAAATATACTAAGTTTTATACTTTTTCTATGGCAATGAGCCTTCCCAAAAAAAAAAAGCATCATTTTTTAATATTTTAAATTAAGATGTACTAAGTTTTTTAAAAGTAAAAAAAATAAAATAAATAATAATACTTGTCTATTTGACATGTATTGAACAAGTGTTTGAGAAGTGTTGGTGTCGGGTGTCTATCACCGTGACACTTCAAACAAGAGAGGGGTTCGTGCTTCATAGATTTCACATGCTCTTGTATATACTTATCTATTATCTTCTCTTACTTCTCCCTCATTGCAATTATCTCCAAACAACTAGTAAATGGTTCATTCTCATGTTTTGACTCTACTTATTTGCCAAGTTCTCAAATTTCTGCTTGCAATGTTTGAATTGTCTCTTGGAGTGTTTACATTGAATTCAGCATCCAGGCAACCCTTTACACTATACACCATAGTTTTCAGTCAAATAAATATTTTAACTGGATTTGGTTAGGTAATATGTATGGTATTGGTATATATTGGCAATACAATGCTGGGCTTTGCCGTTTCAATTCAGCGTGTGGGAATTAGATTATACTAGATACAATACTAGTTACAACTGAGTATTTATTGTTTTTGTGTTGTTGTTTTACATGATGCAGTCATTGTATAACTACATAATTGTAGCTTTGAAGTAGTGTTGCTTGGTTTTGTATTAAATTTGCATTTCATTATTGAATTATTCAGATGCTCTTTTATCTTGCAGGTTGTGATTAATACCTCACTGTCTATTTTGACACCTGAGATTCAAGTGAGTTATGGGGCATAGACATTTATATAGCACATCTCCAATGTTTGAGGGTGAACCTGACCAGAACTGGAATCATATGCATACTGATCAACAATATGTGCACCTTGGTAGTGTTACACAAAATGTCTTATTTTTTCTTGTATTTTGGTTCATTTGCCATTCTTTTAATGCCAAATATTTCTTGGCCGTGTCAATTCTGTATCAATTATATTGGACCTCTATTGCAGGTAGGACTACTGCCTCAGACAATGGTTCATTTATTTATCCTTTGGAGAATATGTCGATAGATAGCATTTCTTTTCCATCTCATTGGAACTCTGTGACAAGGTCAAATGGATATCCATCCACAAGTCTCAACGTTGAAGGACCCCCTCATCAACCAGATGCATCGGGCACTTCTCATGATCATATTATGCATTCATCAAGTGCTGGAACCTTTTTTTCAGCGTCTGAAAATTATGCACACCAGCCTTCTAATTCCAATTATGACAGACAAGCATTCTCTGTTATTGATGGTGGTTTTGTTGATCTTACAATGGGAAATGGACGAGTGCCTCACAAGCGAAAGAGCCCTGGAAACCCTTCAGTCTGTGAGAGCGGTAGTACAAGTAGATACTTTAATGCTGGAAATGCAGCTGATCGTCCTTCATCTTCAGAATTACGGCCAGAGAAACCAAATGTGGATTCTCTATATATGTCCTGGGATCATGTTAATATGGCACCCACATTCAGAGGTAGCAGCCTTTCGATTCGGGGTGAGGGCTCTTCAAGGAATGTGAGGAGCCGTTCTTCACTTGATTTGGAACCCAACCTGGCTAGAACCCATTTATCAAGTACTCATTCACACAACCCATACTCTGCTGGTCCACCAATTGACCATTCTAGCACTGTGGATCTTTCAACTCAACCTCCTGGCACTTTGACAAGGGATTGGAGCCAAATGAACATGTGTCCTGCTCATGGAAGAGTTTTATCATCAGGTTGGTTTGTAATTTAGTTCAGAAATACACATTCTATTCTTCTTTATTTTTTGGTCTGAATTGATCTTTTGGATTAAAATGCAGATGCAAATGCTTTTAATCATGAAGCAAGTCATTTCCTTATTGGAAGTGGTTCTAGTAATGCTCCTGTAGATGTTGGGGTTTTTAATAATGAATTTGGTACAGGCAGAAATCCTAGTGCTCCTCAATGTTTTCAGAATAATTTGACTCAAACTGCTAGGGGAGTTCGCAGTAACTACTCTCAAAGATCTGCTCCAACTTTTAGGGCTTCTTCAAGCTTTCGCTTGGGTCATGTGGCACCTTCTGATGATGGGTTGCATATGGTGGCTGAAAGTTACTCTTCTAGGCATCTTAGGCCATTGACTACCATAGGTTGGCGGAACAGTGATAGAAACGGAAGGTCAAGGATGCCTAGTGATAGATATCGATCATTGGCTGATGAGGTTGGGTTCAATGATCGATTTTCCTCAGAGGTATCTATAAATATCTTAATTCTCAAGAGCTCTGTTCTTGTGTGTAATGATTTGAACATTTGTGTTCATGTTTTTGCCCAGGTTCCGTTTTAGCTATTAGCTTAATTGAGATGTTTGGTTAGCTAGCATATTTTAGGCATGTTGGTTCCAATAAATCCTTTGTCCATTGGACTAGTTGCAATGTTCACTAATATCAGCTAGATTGTGGTTTCTGGCTGAAATACCACTGGCAGACTCGAATTTGTTTTTCTTATTGGGGTTTTTTAATTAAAATTTGGTTTTATTTTTCTTACAGGGTTTCATGATTGTTGATCGCACTTCACTGTATAGTTCTAGGAATATGCTTGATCAGCATAGAGACATGAGGATGGACATAGACAACATGAGTTATGAGGTAATTATTATTGTTTCTGTGTTATAATTAATATTACCTCCTATTAAATCCTGTTTAATTATTTGGATGCTGGGCTCGTCCAGGAACTACTTGCACTTGGAGAGAGAATTGGCCATGTGAGCACAGGTTTGTCTGAGGATTTGATTTCCAAACATTTGACAGAAACAATATACTGTTCATCTGATCCAAGTCAAGAAGAAGGAAGTTGTGCGATCTGTCTGGTATGTTTTATTCTACCATTCCATCTCTAAACGTCCATCATTAAATATGTAAACATTTATTCCAGAACATAATTGTACTTTTTTTCTAAATAAAATAAATCTTAATGGAGTCCAGGGGTTTGCGTCTTTTAGTTGGTACTTGGTATATAGTACTAATTTTCTTGTTCCGTGAGAATGGGGAGGGGTGAAGCCGTTGAAGGGACTCGTTAGGTTCCATATTGCGGAATTAACTTTTTTTTTTCGGGGTAATTTTGAACACATTTCTGTTTACCTGTCTTCTCGGGTTTGTTTTTTCTTATGTGACTATGACATTTTTCACTATAGCCCAGTTGGATAAATTTTTAGAAAAGTAAAAAAAAAAAATTGGTATAAAAAATAAGTAAAATTTTTCTCATAAAATAAAAACAAATTGTATTTCTTTATTTTTAAGTTGCTCTGAGAAACACTCTTATTTAGCTTCTTTAAAATTTGAAGAATATAAGTTTAGTTTTCTTTACATCTGTCGGAAGTTTAGGTGTTTCTGGGTAGAATACTGCGATTTTTGTTGATCCGTGTTGAAAATTGCAGGAAGAATACAAGAACATGGACGATGTTGGGACACTGAAAAGTTGTAGACATGACTACCATGTGAGTTGCATTAGGAAGTGGTTATCTATGAAGAACGTATGTCCAATCTGCAAAGCTTCTGCTTTGCCCGAGGACATGAACGATAAATAAATAATTTATTCATTCTACTTTAGTTTAACGTATATCATTTTGTACATATATTTGGATATTCCTCGAAGCGGAGAAAACAGACTTGATATTATATGTTGTAATAGGAATGTTACTGCATGTCAATGGATTCGTTGGCTTCGGCTTCGCTCTTAATTTCGTGAAGCCTTGAAATTGCTACTTAAGTATTAGAGGTGATTCGATCGAACCTTGAAAAGATCGTCGAAGGCTGTCCACTTTACAATGTAGCATCCCTCTAGAGTAAGCTCCTAAAATGAGTAATTAAATTAAATTTTAATTTAAATACAATGGAGTTTTTACTCCTTGTAATTTTATCAACTGTGGATATAGAGTGTCATCTCGTTATTGAAATAAATAATATTTTAAGAACCGAATAATGAGTTACATGAATCATTTAATGCTATTTAGTTCAATTATAATTTAAGGGATAAATAATAAATATTTAAAATTAGTAAAAAGTTTAATAAATAACTTGAATAAATTTCACAACCTTATCTCATCGGATCGACAGCCGTGGAGGATGGACTTCTGGGAAAAGAAATATTTTAGTAATATTCCTTTGAATAATTTTTTTTTCGCGGTTGGTTTACTTTTATTATAATAATTAAAACAGTTGTTTTATAAATTTATTAGTTGTAGAAATAATTTAAATTTTTAAAAATAAATAATTACAAGGAAATTTTTAAAAGTGTTCAAAGAGCGTATTATTAGTATTTCTTTTGGTAAAAAAACAAGATTCTTCACGATTTGAGTTCATATATTACCAAAATGGATCACAATATTTAACGATTAAGAAGTAATTATAGATCTTTACTCACAAAACATTATTTGTTTTGTTAGAAAAAAATTATAAATAAATTTTCATAGCATCCATGAATTGAATTCTATAATTGTTAATAAAAATAATTCTTACAAAAAACAAAATTTTATATTTAAAGATCTTAAAGACAGTTTCTTAGTCTCCAATTTATGTCATGTGCGATCTGATATCATGTGCTTGCAATGAACGCCAAGGTTAAGACGACGCAATTGACTATTTGACGTCTAGAATATTCTGGACCCACCATACACACCACCCCTTACTTTTCTTAATCCTTCCTCAAGGAAAACAAGCTTCTAGATTCTTCTATGAACCCTATATAAACAACCCCCTCCTCTTTCTCATCCACCATCCCTCAATTGCCATCTTCAATTGTAGTCCACAAAAACAGAACCCCCCCAATCTTCTTCTTGCGCTTACCGAATACCACAATCACCATGCAGATCTTCGTGAAAACCCTAACCGGCAAGACCATCACCTTGGAGGTGGAAAGTTCCGACACTATCGACAACGTCAAGGCGAAGATCCAAGACAAGGAAGGCATTCCACCAGACCAGCAGCGCCTCATCTTCGCCGGAAAGCAGCTAGAAGACGGTCGCACGCTTGCCGACTACAACATCCAGAAGGAGTCCACACTCCACCTCGTCCTCCGCCTCCGCGGCGGCATGCAGATCTTCGTCAAAACCCTAACCGGCAAAACCATCACGCTCGAGGTCGAGTCCTCCGACACCATCGACAACGTCAAGGCCAAGATCCAGGACAAGGAAGGCATTCCGCCGGATCAGCAGCGCTTGATCTTCGCCGGAAAGCAATTGGACGATGGAAGAACCCTCGCCGATTACAACATCCAGAAGGAGTCGACGCTCCATCTGGTGCTTCGCCTACGTGGAGGAATGCAGATCTTCGTGAAGACGCTTACAGGAAAGACGATTACCCTCGAGGTTGAGAGTTCTGATACTATTGATAATGTGAAGGCGAAGATTCAGGACAAGGAAGGGATTCCACCGGACCAACAGCGTTTGATCTTCGCAGGGAAGCAGCTTGAGGAAGGACGCACTCTTGCAGATTATAATATTCAGAAGGAATCCACTCTTCACCTTGTTCTTAGGCTCCGTGGTGGCCGTGATTGAATCATCTTGTTAATGATGTGTATTTTCATTTCAGTTCCAACTATACTTTCTAAGTTTTATATAAATAATACTCCTGATTAATTGCTAATTGTCTCCGTTTCTATGTTAATTTTTTTAATTTAATGTGGATCTACAGAAGATTTTAGTCTTTCCTATACAGAAAGAGTGAATCTCGTTCACACGTCGTAAAGAACGTTGTGAAATTTTGTGACTCATTTCTCACTTATAAAGCTGCATATAATTTTTTGATCAGTTTGAAACGTAAATGCAATCATCAATGCATTCTTGCTCGCTTGAAAATTCGACATGTGTTTGAGATAAACATGGATATGCTATAATAAAATTTAGTCAGGAATAAATACGAAGAAGGAAGAACCTAAGCACATTTCTACCGGTATCAATTAAACTATTGCCATGCTAAGGATATAAAATCATGCAAATAACTCAGCACAAACTAATTTAAGATAATCTATTCTATTCAATTCAATATTATAAAACCAACTCCATTATTGTTGTGTAACAATTTCTTGAACGTAGATATTCTGATATCCTAAGGGTGAAACTTGGGGTGAAATACTAAAATTTATCACAAAAGAGGTGATTGGGAAAAAAAATAAAATGAGATATAATAAAATTAGAATGTAAAAAATTATTATTATTATTATTTAAATCTTCTACTAAAAGAATTTAAATAAAATTAACCACATTAGACGCTTAGACAAAAACTATATCTCCTTAAATAAGACAAGTAACTTCAACAAAAAAATTTTAAACAAAAATGATAATAAAAGACATTTCAGCTTCAGTTAAAGGAACGTGTCAAGTTATAATAGGTCAATAAAGGAAATCGGTACCCTTCTAACCGCCTAATAAATTTTTAGTTTAAACGTGTCGTCGTTTACCAAGGTGACATAAGAGTTATCCCGTGGTGTCGTCGTGGCAGTTCCTTATTAATCCATGAACGACAGAACAACCTCTGTCGCTTTGATTGAGCAGAGGAGGTGGTTTCATTTCTTGGCGCCTTGGAAGAAATTCAAAATCCGAGAGAAACCACAACGAAGTTCTCCCATCTCTCTTGGCAGCGAAAATGGATTCAACAGAAGAAGAAAACTCAAAGCGGCATTGGTCCCTCGAAGACTTCGAGATCGGTAAACCTCTCGGTAGGGGCAAATTTGGCAGAGTCTACGTCGCCAGAGAACTCAAGGTTCCCAATTCACACTTTCTTTCTATTTTCATTCCATTTTTCATATTATTCCAGCTTCTCCATACATGTTAGGTTTTCAACTACCTGAAAATTTTAAATGTTCACTTACTTAATGCTTTATATGAAAATTTCTTGAATGAACACTCATCTTCGTTACTTACTTGAGGTGCAGATTTTTGCTGGATGGTTTATGTATTTGAATTTGAATTTGATTTTCAGAGCAAGTTTGTTGTGGCATTGAAGGTTATATTTAAGGAACAAATTGATAAGTACAGAATTCGTGATCAACTGAAGAGAGAGATGGAGATACAAAGCAATCTTCGACACCCCAACATCCTGCGTCTTTATGGTTGGTTCCATGATGCCGAGCGTGTTTTCTTGATTCTTGAGTATGCTCATAATGGAGAGCTTTACAAGGAGCTAAGAAAAAAGGGTCATCTCACTGAGAAGCAAGCTGCTACGGTAATCCTTTTCTCAAGTATCTGCTTTTGTTTTAATTTCAGAAATTTTCATTGGTTCTAGTTAAGGCATTTCCTCAGACTACAAAGCATAACTCATAGAGAATAAATTTTTTGATATCAAATAATGAGAAGTTAATGATGATGACTGCAGCGGTTGAACTAATTGTAATGGCATGCTGTGGAATATGGAATTACAGAGAAATTGATTGGAAACTTTCGTATGTAGTGATTATGATAATTATACATTGTTTAAAAATGAAAAGATCATAAAATTGTTTTAGGATTTTTCTCAAAAGCAAATAATAATTTAAAAAAAAATAATTTTTTTGCATCATGGAATTACGTTATTTTGAGATTAAAAAATAGACCCTCTATTCTATGCTTCTTTCTTCTCCTTTATTTTGAGGCAAGTCTTTCTTATTACGAAGACTCTAACTCTTCTTTTTATTTTGAAAATTCTAGTATATGTTGAGCCTCACAAAGGCGTTGGCTTATTGTCACGAGAAGCATGTTATTCATAGGGACATCAAGCCCGAAAATTTGTTACTCGACCATGAGGTAAGCTAAAGTATCGTTATTTTCCTCCCTCTTATACCTTCCTTGCTTTTCTTCTGCTAACAATTTATTTTTCTGCACTGTGTTAACTTATGGCAACAAGCCGTTAGAAATTGAATAGTCACAGAAGATTAATATTAAATATAAAACATCGTGCACTTCAATTCAGTCCTGTTTTCTGCCACATTCTCCCTTTTGGTAATCTTTGAAAACTTAACTCTCATGCATGAAATTTTCACAGTTGTTCGGATGGAATTTTATCTGTCATACTTGTTACCTTTTGCTCTCCAATGCTCTTCCTTGCCCCGCTCCTATGCCAAAAAAGAAGTCTAAATGAAAGAAGCTTTAGACTAAAATTATTACTTGATTGCAGGGTCGTCTTAAAATTGCGGACTTTGGTTGGTCTGTACAGTCTAGCAGCAAAAGACATACCATGTGTGGAACGTTGGATTATTTAGCACCAGAAATGGTTGAAAGCAAAGCTCATGACTTTGCAGTTGATAACTGGACTCTGGGTATCCTGTGTTATGAGTTCCTCTATGGTGCTCCTCCATTTGAGGCTGAGAGTCAAGCTGATACCTTCAAAAGGTATGGAAGTGTGCGGGCCTTCGTATGTTTAGTTAAATAAATGTTGCTCTTTTAATGTGTATGTAATATATTTAGCTTTGTGTAGGATAATGAAGGTTGACCTAACATTCCCTTCCACCCCTTGTGTTTCTTTAGATGCCAAAAATCTTATTAGTCGGGTAAGTTCATATCTGAGTATTCGTATCCTACCCAAAGCAAATTCTTTCAGTGAAAAAATCATTTGTTTACTTATTTTTCTGACATCAATCTGTATATTGGGTGCAGCTCCTGGTGAAAGACTCTTCACGAAGGCTCTCTCTTCAGAAGATAATGGAGCATCCTTGGATAATAAAGAATGCAGATCTTATGGTTATCTGCAAGTAGTATCAACTTTTGTCACATGTTTTGGCTATGGCCACGAGGGATTAAGATTGAATTCTGTATATGATGTATTAAAATGCCAGCATATAAGTGTTTTGCAGTGTTCAAGTCTATCATCAAGTTGAAAACTCGCTGTGAGGATTAGGATTGTACATCTGCCTATTTGTAATAGTTGTAGGTGAAATTTCTTGCAGTTCCTTGTGCAACTAAACCAGGCCTTACGAAAGATTTGTACAAATATTTTGACAGCTTCTGACTTAATTCGAGTACTGAATGTGACAGCTCAGATTAAATATTTCCTCTTCAATTAGTAATTCTCAAGTGGTGATTGTTTGAACTTTGAATAATAAAGGCGAACAATGTTGATATTTTATCTTTCTTTTAAAGAATTTAAATGAAAACATGATTTTATAATTCAATTCTGACAACTGTCAATTTAGGATATTTTCTGTTCATGATGAAATATGGATTCTAATTCTAACTGAGCGGCTTAAAAGGGTGTTGCAATTCTAAAACTAAAAGCGAGTTAGTCCAATATTTTACCTGTATTATCGTTATCCGATTTCTTTCACTGTTTTTCAAACAGAGGAACAAAAATTGTGCTGTCTACCTCAAAAAATCCCTAAAATTAAGGGAGCAACGGGTGGATCAGTGAAGATTCTTTTTCTCTTTCTGCACTTCCTGTTTATCTGATATCTGAAAATGAGAAGATTAAAGACGGGTGTTTTATAAAAAATTTAAAAAGAATAAAATAAAAGTCCATTACCATGAATTGTTGAGAACTGACATGTTTTATTAACTCATGCCTTTTCTCAATACAAATTCTATTGTTTTTATCCCCTTTTATTTGTGTAAATAATTCATGGATATTTTAGTTGATATTAGATTCTACAAACCAGTGGAATGCCCTTCTCTTTCGTTCACTTCATGCTGTATCAGAACTTAGAAGTTGCGTGACTGTTTGGAGTGCCTTATTAATGGTCACATGAATGTGTCTTGTGATTGTTTGCACATTTACTAGTCTTGAAGTTTCACCATCTCTGATTATTGCAGATTGAATGGCGTTGGATAGCCAGAAAAATTAGTAAAATCTGATAGAATTTACAAGATTCAAGGGTGGTTGTTGGATGAGATAAAGTGATAGGGAGGGATTATTTATCTAAGATCAGTTAGTATATGTGCATTTGGTAACACATTGAGTGTAGAATCCAAGCTATGTTAACGCAGAAGCTGTTACTGGTTGTGCTGTTATAAAAGTGGTTGTTGATATTTGCCTTTTGTGTCCAAATCCATGAATCTTAGACTTTTAACTAGGGCTTGTTTTTATCATGTTATTTAAACATCACTTGGAAATGCCATATGTTTTGATGGAAAAGTAAGAACAATAATACCTGAGAAGTACCATATGTTTCAAAGGCCAACACTACTTGCTGCTACTGTGCTGTGGCATAAATTTTAAGGCTTGAAGTTTCACAGCTCCCAGTTATTTTGGACCTAAAATGTAATATACACCATAAAATTTTCAGTAGGAGGGTTCCTCGAATCATCAAAAATTATTATCAAAAGAATATATAATAAAATATGAAAACTACCTTCTATTGGTGTCGTGGTGTAGTTGGTTATCACGTCAGTCTAACACACTGAAGGTCTCCGGTTCGAGTCCGGGCGACGCCATTTTTCAATTTAGCTGATAATATGCAATGTTAATGATATGCATCAACTTTTTTGTACCAACAAAATTTTTTTAAGTTGTAATTATATAGTTATCTATTAGTATAAAAAAGTTAGTAGCATGATTAGGGTTTTAGATATAAAAATTTTATTATTAGTTTAAAAATTAAATTTAGAAGCGATGGGGTCTATAAAAATGTACTCATTATTATTAGTATTATTTTAAATATAATATATTGTTTAAAAATTATATGCACATAAATATATAATTAATTAGGTTAATTTATTAATTTTTTGAAGATGAAGAAAGACCTTACAAGACAAGGGATATGATCTCTATCTCCATAGTCAAAACTCAGGGAATGCTTTAGCCACATCCAAATCACTGAAAGTAAATTAACTTTAACCTCATGTTAAATCCACGTTGTAAGTAAACTTATGTAGCTAATTATGTAGAAAAGTAAAATAGTTAAGAAATAAAAAGCATGAAAATAAACTAAAATAGCTTCTTTTTTCTTTCACAAAAGCTTTTTACAAGTAAAAGATGAAAATGAGTTGTATTTGAAAGTAAAATTTGAGATTAATTGTGTATTTTTGGTGTAATAATTATAAGAAGTATGAGAAAAATGCTATGTTGCAGCATGATGATGATGTAGAGAAAAAAAAAGGTCAGTAATATCGTAAAACTAAACATTCAAATATGAATATTTTCACATTGAACTTTGTGGAACGTTTTAGAAGATGTGAGTTGAAATATTCAACTTCCAATGTCCTCATGTTAGTATTGCAGAAGTCTATATAAAGGCTATGGGCTGTTATTTATGTAATCTTTTGTTATTTTACCATTTTCCTTAATTTTCTTTTTGAATTGGATTTTAAGATTACGTTAGAACATATTGCAAGTTGCTAACACCTTCTATCTCTTTTTTCTTTTTTCTTTGTTATGTTTGGTTGAATTTCGTAAGTTAATATATTTGGACCTTGTATGATTTTGTTTTACTTAATCTTACTTTAGATTTTGTAATTCAATTATATTGTTTATTTTTTACTTAATGTTTGATTTAATTGACCATTCAATTACATATATTTGAAGAGATTTAAAAATTATGCTAATGAAAACAAGTTTAATCATCGTTAACTTATTTGTTTTTCAGTAAAGAATCTAGCCAATCACTGCTGGGTGCTGCACTCACTAATTTAAATTTAAGAAATGATTTTTATACGTTTCATTGATATTATAATATTATTTATTTTGGAAAAAGAAATATAGTACACGTATATTAAGAAGTAGCTTTGTATATATAATTTGATTATTCAACAATAAAGATATAAATAATGATGTAAAGAAAGAATTAACTAAATCATATAAATTATCTGTATGTATTACAATAACAAAGCAATAGATTAAATAACAAATCTTCCGATGCCCGTCGACACGATGAAGCGGTCTAGTCACAGCCTATCATTAACGATGCAAAAGATCAAGATTAATTTAATTGTTTTTCTTTAGTTATAAGAAATCCTCAATATTAGATTAATGGACTTAAAAAAAATTATCATTGGTGACGAGCTGCTTAAATAATTGAGACATTTAAATTATTAAGACTTGACGGGTAATATATATATATATATATATATAGATTGTGATTCTCTTACACATCAGACAAATGGTATATGACTTCTATGAAATCATTATGAGTAAGAAAACTAAAACGCTAAAGATTAAGTTAATTAAAATATTTTGCAAGATTTAAGCTATCTGGACAGCAATTTCTTTTCCTTTTAAGCTTCCCGTGCAAACAAACACCTAGAATATATAACTTATGAAAACCTCTAGAACCATAAGATAATGTTGAATAATTCTCTTACCTTTTTATGTTTATAATTTTTTTAATCATTGAATTTTGTATTTTTAAAATAATAAATACAGAAATATTTTTATTTAATATTGACTTTAGAAATAAGATAACAATCTTATGAAAAGATATAACAAAGCTAATACATGTTAACTTCAAACTTCCAACCACAAACAGTCGGTTCTAAAAAAATGAAAACATATGATCCCACAATTGGTCACAAAATGTCAATGGTCCTTACTCTTATATGCTTTAATAAGAACCAGGTGTTTTTTTTGTAGTTGGTAAATAGCAATTTCTGTGTGAATATAATTGGTACCACTAGTAATGAGGAATGACATGGTACTCCAATTTGAGAGGCTATTATCTTCCTAACATCTTGTACTCATTGAGTTACTTTCTTTGTTTGTTTTTAATTCGTTACCACTTAACATCATAGTGGCAAATACCTTAAAGATGAATGGCCAGAACGTCTCTTAAACTTAATATTATTGGATTTTTTAATTTAGTAATTACATAAGGCAAAGGACTTAATTGACAAAATTTCAACTACTAATTTTTGTTAATTTATTTCATGTTTCAAATCCCAAGATTATTGTTTCCCCTTAATTAGCTGCTCAAAATATGAAAGTCAAATCTTTTTAAAACTATTCAAAGTGAATCAATATAATAATTCAATATGTAAATTATTAAATTATGTTTTTGGGGTTAGGGCATCGCCATTCCAACCTTCCCAAAAAGTCTTTAGTTAGACATATTGATCTTTTGCACAGGATCATGCATATCACCGTATGATCACTTGCCATATTATGCAACAAATAGGAATATCGCATACATAAAAATTTGAGACCACCATATATATATATATATATATTAAAGGTAGACACATTAGCCCGTAATAATGCCTATAAAAGGAAGGTAGGAAATACATGTAAAGGGTTGACTTTCATTATTATATTACATTTATTGTTCAAAACCGAATCTTGACTTCAACATCGGAGTGCCTTTTGCAGGTACCTTTCTCACGCCAGCAACAACTAAAAAGACGTCATCACTGCAGATTAGAGACTTAAAGATTAGTGTTTTCCAAGTAGGAACAATATATATATATATATATATATATATATATATATATATATATATTAATGTTTCCAAGTAAGAACAATATATATATTTGAACATATTTATATACACTGATAATCTCCTCAACCTTCTGCCTTATCCCTGGTCCAGATAATCAGCAATGCATTTGTACTAATAATTAACCGAAAACAACTATGCCTGATTAAATTGTGAATATCATAATTAATCATTGCTTTGATAATGGTGATAAACTTGGGAGTTTGATATCAAATCCTTTCCGGCAAGAAGCTCTCAACCTATATAGCAAAGACTCTTCTAATCGATTCAATTCTTGTTTCGTCTCCGGATCATTATTATAACTTTTTTTTTCTATTCACTGTCAATTTATATGTTGATTAAACAAGGATTTTATTTTACCAATAACTAATAGTGAATATGATGAAGCATTATATTCTAGACACGTGTGTTTAGATAACGATTAATTAAATATGTGCTTATTCAATAAATTAATATTACATAAAAAATTTATACCATAAAATTAACTATGAAATTTATACACATAAATTGAAAAATTATATATAAAAATTGATTAAAATGAATTAAAAAAAAAAACCTACAAAGAAGTCTTAAGTTCTTTTAAACACTCCCTTTATCCATAATCCATAATATAAGCCCTAGTTGCAGCAGTGCATGTATATGTGGAGTTTGAGTGGGTCCATGAGCTGGATCAAAGGTCAAAGAAAGTTGCGTAGTGGAGAGTGCACCGGCCGGCCGGAGGCTTTAGTTCTACTCTTCCAAACCAAGCTAATTGGGTTATTCTCTCAAACACACCTCTATTTAAAGCCTTCCAATTTCCCCCTCTCACATCACAATTCACCAACTCAACTTGAGGGATCGATTATATGGCCAACACTACCACCATGCTTCCTTCTAATATCTGTTTCTTCCTTTTATTGCTTCTCCTACACTTTCATTTGGGTACGCTAGCTATATATGCATCTAATTTTCTACTTATTACTCTTTGGTTAATTTTTTTCTACTTTCTTTGTAACCTGACAATTTGGATATAATATGGTACACATTATGGATAGAAACGTACACATTCGATTTTCTTGACTTAATAATTATATGTTTTATCAAAGTTGAAAGGTATTACTCAATTGATCATGGACATTCAATATTCATTAGTCCTACGCATTATTAAATATAATGATATATATATATATGTGTGTGTGTGTATAGAAGTTGCACTAGTTATTTTTTAATGTCAAGTGTGTATATATGTATATACATATAGGGAAGGGCCAACTTCAGTTGAATTACTACTCCAACAGCTGCCCAAAAGCGGAAGAGATCATAAAGCAACAAGTCACACAGCTGTATAACAAGCATGGAAACACTGCGGTTTCGTGGGTTAGAAATCTCTTCCATGATTGCATGGTCAAGGTACAAGATTTATTGTTTCAAATTAAGAAATGTACACACATATATATAGCAAGATAAATAATTTTAATTAATGAATTGGATTCCCATGCAGTCATGTGATGCATCACTATTGTTAGCGACGGTGCGTAATGGTGTAGTGTCGGAGCAGACGTCTGAGAGAAGTTTTGGTATGAGGAACTTCAAGTACGTAAACACTATCAAAATGGCTGTGGAACAAGAATGCCCCTCCGCAGTCTCATGTGCTGACATTGTTGCCCTTTCTGCTAGAGATGCCATTGTCTTGGTCAGTTTCATCAAATATATACAAGTGTTTTATCGTGTGCATCTATATTTCTCTAATTACATTAATATGTTTTTGTTTGACCAACGAATTAAAAAAGTAAATAATAAATTAATGACCAAAAGATTACAAGAATAATTTATGATTTATAACATGTTTAGATTTTTGTTTAAAGCACTTAGATTCATGTTTACTTCCATAATTTTTTTCTTAAATTGTGTATTTTTAACGTGTTTTTTGAACATTTTTAATGTATATTACTGAGAGTAGTTAGGAGGTCCAAGCATCGAAATGAAGACAGGGAGAAGGGATAGCAAAGAAAGCTATGCAACGGTGGTGGAAGACTTTCTCCCAAACCACAATGATTCCATATCCTTAGTGCTGTCTCGTTTTCAAGACATTGTTGGCATTGACGTTGAAGCCACAGTCGCTCTTTTGGGTATAAAATTCTCATTCACATACGCTCTGTTACATATCAACTTACTGACACCTATTTCCAAAGTCAAAACATAAATCTAAGTGCCTTTTATTACTTAAACGAAATTAACACTCCCTTGGGCAATTTATATGGACACATGCCTAACCTTTTAGGCACAAACCCAGAAAAAAAAAACTATAATTCGTCGTATAGCTGTCATGATTACGTCACACTAGGCCACTAATATGAAGCTTAATCGTATAATTTATTCCTTTTCGCTAATTAAATTATTCTGCTGCTTCTATTATATAATCAACATTTTGATACTCATTTTTTATTGTTATTTTATAAAATTAAGAAATAATTATTTTTTTACAATTTTATTTTAAAAATTAATGTATGTTTAGTTGAAGTATGTGTTTTTCTGCATCAAACATATAAATCAACTGGTAAAAACTATTAATTTGTAGTCTTGAGTTTTTTTTAAAAAAGTGTCTTTTTGTAATAGTTATTTGATGAGTTAAATTTAAACTGTTTTGTTGGTTGATTCAGGAGCTCACTCAGTGGGAAGAGTTCACTGCAAGAATCTGGTGCAGAGATTATACCCGACAGTGGACGAGACACTGGACCCTGCACACGCTGAGTACCTGAAACGTAGGTGCCCAACACCGAATCCCGATCCAAAGGCTGTTTTGTACGCAAGGAATGACCTGAAAACGCCCATGATCATTGACAACAACTACTACAAGAACATCTTGCAACACAAGGGCCTTCTAACTGTGGATGAAGAACTCGCCACTGACCCAAGAACCTCACCTTATGTCCAAAAAATGGCCAATGATAATGAATATTTCAACCAGCAGTTCTCAAGGGCAATTCTCTTGTTGTCTGAGAACAACCCTCTCACCGGAGATCAAGGAGAAATCAGAAAGGATTGTCGCTACCTCATTGCCAATTAGAATCATATGCATAAGCTACCCTTTTTGCATAGATTGTAATGCACAAGTTAAATATATGTGTGCAACGACGTAGTGGGTCAGGGTTAGCATAGTCTGTGCCATAATAAGCCATTGGGCCTAGCCTTATATGCCCATGTTTGCTTCAAGTTAAGTTCATATATGTTTGGACAAAAAGCCTGTCATGTTCTAATCAGTTGACCAAAAAAATGTTTACAAATATTTCCTTTAATCTCGTATATCTATCATTAAATTTATTAATTTTTATAATAAAATAAACTAATTTTACTAAAAAAATTTAATCAAAATATTATGTAAAATTAATGCAATACTAAATAAGTTAACCTAAGTTATGTTTTCAGATACAATTATCAAATAACTAAACATCAAACATATCATATGTTAGGGAGGTTTGCAAGTTGATTAAGTAAATAGAAAATAACAATTCAAAAATAATAAAATTAATAATAATGATAAGTATATCAACCCTTCGGTTCAATTCAACAATAAAAATTGTTATATGTTACTTATCATTAAATTTGAATTTTTTTTACTCTGTCTGATATAAATTAATTAATTAAGCATTAATCAAATTTTTAAAAAATTATGTTATAAAAAATGCACAGAATAGTCGTCAAATCAAATTAGTTAATTAAGCATTTTATAATTCTAATTCAATTATTACTAATTAATTTTTGTTTAAACTCATACACAAAATTTAAATGAAAAATTCTACTACAAAAGTTAGACCTTTACACAGGATCTGGAATCTATTATTCTATTAAAATTAATAAATTTTTATTTAAAAATAATAAAACATTGTAATTAAAATTGGATTTGATATAATAAAAAATTCGTTAAAGAGGATCAAAATCCAACTTCACTCCGAAAATAAAAATCTTATACATAATATTACATGTGACACTTGTTAACACTTGCATTAATCACAAGTGTATAATCTTCTTATGTATAATTTAGATCATTTTTGTTGTATTCTTCTTGTATAGCTACCTTATACATTTTGTTAGTCAAAATTTGTAGGCACCGCTAATTTGTGGCTCAGTTTTTCAATTGGCACTGGCAGACATTTAATTTATGTAAGCACCGTCCGAAAATGTATCGAATTGTCAAATTTTGCTACAGTAAATTACTGTAGCAATGTTGAAATTTTGAAAAGTTACTGTAGCATTTTTTTTTTTTTCTATAAAAGGCAACGAATTAACGAAGGGAGCTATGCACATCATTCACAGATCTGTGAGAAAAAAAATACTGAAAGAAAATTGAGAGTGTTATTTTATAACTCTTATTCCATTTTGAGAGAGTATTTACTGAGAGAAAAATATAGTGATTTATTATTCTTTGTCCTCATAATTTTAGAGGACTTCTTGTACTCTCCCTTTTACATAGTGAAATTATTTTGCTCGTCGTCGTCCGTAGGTTTTTTCTCCGATTTGGAGTTTTTCTCACGTTAAAATATTGTCTCCATTATTCTCTTCCTTCTCTTTATTTCCAATTAAATTCGATCCACTCTTCTGCATTGCTTTGATACCCTAACAAGTGGTATCAGAGCGGTTATTTAATTGAAAATATTAAAGATGTCTACCGCTACAAAATTTGACATTGAGAAGTTTGATGGCAAGATTAGCTTTTCTATTTAGAAAGTGCAAATGAGAGTCGTTCTCACTCAGAACGGATTAAAGAAAGCTTTAGATGGAAAGTAAAAAAAATCTGCTTCCATGACCGATGAGCAATGGGACGAGTTGGATGAAAAAGCGCTTTCAGCAATTCAACTTTGTTTGTCCAAGGAGGTTTTACGTGAAGTGGTCGACGTAACCACCGCTGCGGAATTGTGGTTAAATTTGGAAACCTTGTATATGACTAAAAGCCTCGCCAACAAGCTTCGTCTCAAGAAGCGATTATATACGTTCTGTATGATAGAAGGTACTCCCTTTCAATCTCATCTTGATGAGTTTAATTCTATTATTATAGATCTGCAAAATATCGATGATGAAGATAAAGTTGTTTTGTTGGTTGTCTCTTTACCTTCTACCTACAAACACTTCAAAAAAATTATGTTGTATGGTAATAATGACACCTTATCCTTTGAAGATATTAAATCTAATTTATTATCCAAAGAAAAATTTGATCTTGAAATCCATTCTAAGGACAAGGGTGAGGGTCTAAGTGTTAGAGGTAGAACTCAAGTAAAAGGGAGTACTAGTCACAAAAAGAGTAGATCCAAATCTAGGGGACGAAAATCCAACACTACTTCTCATTATTGCAAAAAATATGGGCATGAAATTTTTGATTGTTTTATCTTAAAAAAAAAGAAGAAAATAAACAAAAGAAAGAAAAAGGTAAACAACCTGTTGAAGCTGCTAATATTGAGACTGATTCTGATGGAGATGTTATGGCATCTGTTGTCTCTTCTGACAAGAGAAGCAAAAATAAGTGGCTTCTTGACTCTGCATGCACATACCACATGTGTGCTTATAGAGATTTATTTACCACTTTTGAACCAGTTAATAGTGGTATTGTCTTGATGGCTAATGATACTCAATGCAAAGTTGAAGGAATAGGTACTATTCAGATCAAGGCTCATGATGGTGTTGTCAGGACTCTGACTAATGTTCGCTTTATTCCTGAATTAAAGCGGAATCCCATCTCTCTTGGCACCCTTGAATCTCTTGGGTGCAAGTATTCATCTGAAGGTGGAGTCCTAAAGGTATCAAAAGGTGCCCTTGTTTTGTTGAAAGGTAACCGAGTTGGTACTTTATATTTCTTGCAAGGTTCTGTTGTGACAGGTACAACAGTTGTATCTTCTTCTATGCTTGATAATGATCTCACCAAATTATGGCACATGCGCCTGGGCCATATGAGTGAAAAAGACATGCATCTTTTGAGCAAGCAAAGTCTTCTTGGTAATCAAGGTATCGGTAAGTTAGAGTTTTGCGAACATTATGTCTTTGGGAAACAGAAAAAAGTAAGTTTCTCTACTGCAACTCACCGTACAAAGGGTATTCTTGATTATATTCATTCTGACCTTTGGGGGCCTTCTAAAGTTCCCTCTTATGGAGGACGCCGTTATATGATAACTATTATTTATGATTTTTCTCGCAAAGTTTGGGTTTATTTTCTTAGGTATAAAAATGAGACCTTCCTCACTTTTAAGAAGTGGAAAACTCTTGTTGAAACCCAAACAGGGAGAAAAGTCAAGAAGCTCAGAACGGATAATGGATTGGAGTTCTGTGACGGTGACTTTATCGAGTTCTGCACAAATCATGGAATTGCTAGACATAAAACCATTCCAAGAACACCCCAGCAAAATGGTGTTGCAGAACGAATGAACAGGACTCTACTTGAGAGAGCTCGTTGTATGCTCTCAAATTTTGGGTTATGGCATCGACATGAATTTTGGGCCGAAGCAGTATCAACTGCTTGTTACTTGGTTAATCGTTCTCCACACTCGTCACTTAATTTCAAAATTTCAGAAGAAATTTGGTCAGGTAATCCTGATGATTATTCCAATTTGAGAATATTTGGATGTCCTGCTTATGCACATGTCAATGATGGCAAATTAGCTCCAAGAGCTGTTAAGTGCATATTTTTTGGTTATGCATCTGAATCTAAAAGATATCGTTTATGGAATCCTAAGTCACAAAAATTAATTCTCAGTAGAGATGTGACTTTTAATGAGGATGTTTTATTATATTCTGGAAAACAATCTTCTATAATTTCTTCTACTAGTACGAATAATCTGCAGGGTACTAGCGAGAAGGTGAGTTAGAGTTGAAATCTACAACTCTTAAAGTTGATGTTCCATCTTCTTCTATCAATGAGTCTAGTACTGATATTTGTAGTGATGATGATGTTGATGAGATTACCACTTCTCCAATTCAGCCGCAGGAAGAGGAGTATTCCATTGCCCAAAACAGACCAAGAAGAACGATTACTAAGCCAGCTAGATATGCAAATTATGCTTGTGATGATAATTTAATTACATATGCATTATCTGTTGTACAAAAAATAAATGATGACATTGAACCAACCAGCTATATTGATGCTGTTTCTTGTGCTGATTCTTCAAAATGGCTAGTGGCTATGAATGAAGAAATTGAAAGTCTTCATAAGAATAGTATTTGGAGTTTAATAGAGCTTCCCAAAAGCAAACGACCTTTGAAATGCAAATGGGTCTATAAGAAGAAAGACGACATTTCCGGGGTTGAAGATCCTAGATGCAAGGCACGATTGGTTGTTAAAGGCTTCAGTCAAAAGGAAGGTATTGACTTTAATGATATTTTCTCACTTGTTGTTCGTCATACCTCCATACGTGTTTTGCTTGCTTTTGTTGCTTTATTTGACTTGGAATTGGAGCAACTTGATGTTAAGACAGCTTTTCTGCATGGAGAGCTGGAAGAGGAAATTTATATGGAGCAACCTGAGGGATTTATTGTTCTTGGTAAGGAGCATCTTGTCTACCGATTGAAGAAATCTTTATATGGACTCAAACAAGCTCCAAGATAATGGTACAAAAGGTTTGATTCCTTTATGATTGGGCAAGGTTATTGCAGAAGTCAATATGACGACTGTATTTATTTTCAAAAACTTCCTGATGAATCTTACATATACTTGTTACTATATGTTGATTGCATCACGTGACAAGTCTCTGATCAGGAAATTGAAAACTCAACTCAATAATGAGTTTGAAATGAAAGAATTGGGTACAACTAAGAAGATTCTTGGTATGGAGATTTGCAGGAATCGTCAAGCTGGTAAATTGTTTCTATCTCAACAAAAATACGTTGAGAAAGTACTTGACAGGTTTAATATGTCTAATTGCAAATCTGTTTCTACTCCACTTGCTGCACATTTCAAGTTATTATCTGACCTTTGTCCTGAGACAGAGGAAGACATGAAGCGTATGTCACGCGTTCCTTATGCTAGTACTGTTGGCAGTCTTATGTATGCTATGGTATGCACTAGACCTGATTTAGCATATGCCG